CAACACAAGAGGGTGCATTTCCAAAGAGGGGCTGCTAGTTGGATAGGGACTCTCAAGTGTACCATCCCTCAAGTAAGTCTTGGCCTTCATGAAGCCTAGCTTCCCCATCTGTGAAATGGACTGACTCCTGCCTCATCATCCAATGAAACCTTGAGTTCACATGTTGCCCACTTGGTGGGTTCAGCAAAGTTAGCTCGCCTCATTGTGTGGGTGAAAAGGCAGCAATTGGTCCTGTTAAGAACCCAGCCCACAGAGAAGTTAAAGTCATTAATATATGTGTATATATATATATATTTTTCAAGATCAATGTAGTATATTGTATCAATAGAAAGAAATAAAGAAACATGGTCATCTCAATTGATATAGGACAAGCATTTGACAAAACTCAATACTTTTCCATGATATAACATTCAATAAAACTAGGAATAGAAGGACACTTCCTCAACATGATAAAGCCATATGCAAAAAACCCACAGCCAACATCACACTCAATGGTCAAAACAGAAAGCTTTTCCTCTAAGATCAGAAACAAGGCAAGGATGCCTGTTCTTGCCACTTGTATTCAACTTAGTGCTAGAAGTCCTAACCAGAGCAATGAGGCAGGAAAGAGAAATAAAGGAATTCAAATTGTAAAGGAAGAATTGAAATTATTTCTGTTCACAGATGATATGATCTTCTATTTAGAAAACTCTAAAGATTCCACAAAAACACTGCTAGACTTAATAAATGCACTCTCAAAGTTGCAGGATACAAAATCAATACACAAAAAGGCTGTATCTCTATACACTGACCACAAACAATCTGAAGAGGAAATTAAGAAAACAATCCTACTTACAGTAACATCAAGCAGAATAAAATATAAGAGAATAAATTTAACCAAAGAAGCAAAGGACTTGCACACTAAAACCTACAAAACATCACTGGAAGACATTATAGAAGACCTAAATAAGTGGAAAGACATCCCATACTTACAGACTGGAAGATTTAATATTACTGAAATATCTATAGTATACAAAGTGATATAGAGACTAAATGCAATCTCTATCAAAATCTCAAGTGTCTTTTTTTCTAGAAATAGAAAAACTGATCCTCAAAATACAAATTTTTGGAATCTCAAGATCCCCAATAACCAAAATAATGTTGGGAAAAAAAGAATGAAATTGGAGGACTCACACTTCCTGATTTAAAAACTTGTCATGAAGCTACAGTAGTCAAGACTGACATAAAGAGGGGTGCCTGGGTGGCTCAGTTGTTTGGGCTTTGGACTTTGGCTCAGGTCATGATCTTAAGGTTCGTGAGTTCAAGCCCCACCTTGGGCTTTGTGCTGACAGCTCAGAGCCTGGAGTCTGATTCAGAATCTGTGTTTCTGTCTCTCTCTGCCCCTCTCCCGTTCTCTCTCTCTCTCTCAAAAATAAATAAGCATTAAAAAATTAAAAAAAAAAAAGAGTTGGACACTTAACTGACTGATCCAGGTGTCCCTCAATTCCATTTTGGGGCACCTGGGTGGCTCAGTCGGTTAAGCGTCCGACTTTGGCTCAGGTCATGATCTTGCAATCTGTGAGTTGGAGCCCCGCATCAAGGTTCTGTGCTGACAGTGCAGAGCCTGGAGCCTGCTTCAGTTTCTGTGTGTGTCTCTCTCTCTGCCCCTCCCCTGCTCGTGCTCTGTCTCTCTCTCTCAAAAATAAATAAATATTTTTTTAAAAAAATTTTAACATTTGTTTATTTTTGAGAGACAGAATCTGAAGCAGGCTCCCGGCTCAGCCCAACGTGGGGCTGGAACCCACGAACCGCAAGATCATGTCCTGAGCCAAAGTCTGGCGCTTAACTGACTGAGGCACCTAGGCGCTCCTAAAAAAAATTTTTTTTAAGACTGACATAAAGACAAACATAGACATCAATGGAATAAAATAGAGATCCCAGAAATAAACTATTGCTTATGTTATCAGTTGATTTTTGACAAGAGTTACAAGACTATTCAATGGGAAAAGGACAGTCTTTTCAACAAATGGTACTGGGAAAACTGGATATGCAAACAGAAGAAGATGGACTTTTATCTTATATCAATTTATATATAAAATAACTCAAATGGATCAAAGATGTAAGCATAAGGGATAAAACTATGAAACTCTTAGGAAAAAACAGGCAGAAATTTCCACAACATTGTATTTGGCAATGATTTATATATGACACCAAAAGAAAAAGAGAAAAAAATGGGTAATTTGACTTTATCAAAATTTAAAAATTTTGTGTCTCAAAGGAAACCAAGAGAGTGAAAAGATAAACCACAGAATGGGAGAAATATTCACAAATCATATATCTTATAAGGGATTAATATATAAAATATGCAAAGAACACATACAACTCAACAACAACAAAACAAAAAACCCAACAGGCAAAGGACTTGAACAGACATTTATCCTAAGAAGAGCTACAAATGGTCAATAACCAAATGAAAAGATGTTGGGAGTCACTAGTCACTAAAATTAAAACCATGTGATACCACTTCATACCCATTAGGATGGCTATTTTTGAACAACAACAAACAAACAAACCCAGAAAAGAATAAGTGTTTGTGAGGATGTGGAAAAATTGGAAAACTTGTGCATTGCTGGTAGGAACATAAGATAATGCAGATGCTCTGGAAAAGTTTGGCAGTTTCTTAAAAAAGTTAAACATAGGATTACCATGATTCAGCCATTCCACTCCTAGATATATAGCTAAAGAACTGAAAGCAGGACTCTAATAGATACTTGTACACCCATGTTAATAGTATTAGTCACAAAAGCCTAAAGACTGAAGCAACCCAAGTGGCCATCAACAGTTGAGTGGGTAAACAAAATGTTATGTGTACATATTATTGAATATTGCTGAGCCTTAAAAAGGAACAAAAATTCTGACAGGTGCTACGACATGAATGTCTTAAACATTCTAAATGAAATGATAATGTATGGTTCCACTTATGAGGTACCTAGAATAAGCAAATTAACATAGACAAAGTGGAATAGAGGTTACCAGAGGCTGGGGCAGGGGTAGTGGTGGGGAGCTAGTGTTTAATGGGTACAGTTTCTGTTTGGGGTGATGCAAAAGTTCTGGAGATGGGTGGTGGTGAAGGTTGCACACAGCGTAAATATACTTAATGCCACCAAATTGTACATCTAGAAATGGTTTTAAAAGGGCAAATTTTATGACATGTATATTTTATTACAATTTTAAAAATATATACATAGAACATGGCCTGAATAAAAAAAAAGCAATTGGAACCAAAAAAAAGTGGTTTCTGATGGCCTGGCCCAGTTGGATTAGTTTTTGACACAAGCATACTGCCTGCTCTCTGCTGACCAGCCTGGAGTTGGCCTTAGCTGCCTAGTGCCTGAGGTAAGCCAAATTGTCAGGAACTCCCCCTCTCCTTTGAGGCAGGAAGTTTAAATTATCAGGTCAATTAGGAAAGATACAACCGAAAAATACAAGTTTCATTCACACTTCAAGGAGGCGTTTCCTGGCTGGGTGCCACTTTTATTATTTTTGGCCGAGGTGGCTGGAAGCCCCACAGACCCAAGTAAAGGTACAATGTGATCTTTGATTCGCGTTTCAAAGATCAAAGAGAGTGAGTTTGGGTGTAAATGCAGATAACATTTCAGAGATAGTTTCATGAAAGGAGTCACTAGACCAGGGCAGAAAGGGAGCTGGTCTCTTAGGCATGTGTTCGCCTTGAGAAACATCTCTTTCCAGGGGATTCGGCTGCTGATGGCTCCAATAACTCCTGGCCTGCATCCAGGTCCTTGGCTCACAGGGCATTAGGTATCCGAGGGGCAGATACCCTCTCCCACCTCTTGTCTAGGCGCCGTAAGCACTGGAAGAGGAAGCGTGGGATGGTGCACATGAGGAGCACCCAACCTCATGCTCTGCTCACTTTCCCAAAGTCTCTGGGTGCTGAATGAGCATGTCACTCCTGGGGAGCAAACTTGGCCTTGGCAGCCTGCCCTCATTGTCCTCTCAGTCTAGCCTCCACCCGGGTAGGGCAGCACAAACACACCCCCTAGAAAACTTACAGGCCCCGGTTTACCAGCCTCTAGGCACCCAGGTGGGGCGTCCTCACGGCCAGCCCAGCCTTGCCCTCTGGCTCCCGCACAGAACGTAGGCAGAACCAGGCCCCACTTTCAAGCATGGGGCGCTGGGTGGTGAGAGACACTTTCCACCAAAGCGCCGAAGGCCCTCTATGGCCAAACCCTCCCTGGTGGGCTCTGTTCCCAGCAACCCTCCAGACGTTCGGTAGCGCCCCAGGGCCCAGCTGATTTGAGGGCAGTGGCAACGGCTCCAACATCCCTGGGAGAGCCAGTTGGGTGCCCCGTCCCTCCCTCCTGCTATCCATTCCTCAGCCCCAGTGCGTTTCGCGCGGGCCCGCTGAACACCGCCGGCCCTGGCCACCCCACGCCTGCCCGCGCAGCCTGGACTGCTCCAAGCACTTGGCGCGGCGTCGCGGGGCTGAGCGCGCTCCCATCACCCCCCGCGCCTCACTGCCGCGCTGGCAGGGCCTGAGAGCGCCTGCGCAGCTATGGGCCTCAAGGCTCACAGCGCAGGCGCAGCCCTACAGGGAGACTAGTGTGGGACGCGCCGGGTACCGGCGCGGGGACGTATGGGGCGGCCACGCGCACGCTGGGGGCGTGGCTGCGCGAAGTGGTTGGGCTTGGAACTTAGCCCCTGCTGGAGTGGGTGTCGCAGACTTTGGACGGAGGGTCAGTGGGGCGGCGGGAACCCGAGTGCCCGGCGGGGGCCCCGCCCCTCCGTCCTTCCCAACTTCCTGTCAGCGGAGAGGCGCTCGGAGCCCTCAGACTGGGTCCCTGTTTCCCTTCGGAAAGGCGGGCCTCAGTTTCTCGGTCCGCGCCGTGGGCGGGGGAGAGCCTGGAGTCATTTTCTGGTGGTTCCAGCTGTGTTCGAAGGTGTCCCCCGCGCCCTTTCTCACCTCACGGCGGCCGATCTTGTTCTGCGCTTTCTAGGTGGCACTTGGGAGTCTCGCCCTGGGAGGGAGACGGGTCCGTAGTCTCCGGTCGCAGATCCGTGGACCCTCTTCGCAGACGCCTCGTGGAGCCTCAGGTTGGTCGGCTTCTTTTTGCAGTGGGACTTGTGAGCTCATATCCCCGCGGTTTCCTGCATGGCGTTTAAGAAGGGGGTGGTGCAGTGGTCTGCCCTCCACTTGCTGCGAAGCTTTGGGCAAGTTGTTCTACCCCCGGGGTCCCTGGTCTCCTAGGAGCTGAGAACGCTCCAGCATTGTAGGTGCTGGCTTTTGGCTTTGCAGAGGCAAATGCGTGTGCGTCCCGGTACCTGTTCCTTGAGTAAAGCGCTGTGCAGTCCAGAAGGGCCCAAATTCCTCAGTGTTAGGGTGGGGAGAGAAGGAAGAGGGATCAACAAACTAATAGCTGTGGGAGGGCTAAGGTTCTCAAAAGTGTTAAGAGACCCAAGCTTAAGAAGGTTCACGGCCAAGCAGGGCTGGCTGGTTGGCGCAGGGGAGCCTTCACCCTGATGCTACAGGGGTACACAGGCATGCTGATGAGCAGGCAGGGGACAGCTAGGGTTCTGACCGGGGGTAGGAGTTTGGGACTGGGAGGAAGCCAGGGCAGAGACTTGGGTAGTGCACTGTGTATTGGGCATGGGATGTGGTTTTTGTGCGCAGCCTGGCACTTAACCTTAGATTGGTGGCAGGAGCTTGGAGTGTGGTTCGTGGTCACTGGCGTTCATCGTCATTGGTTTTCAGAGCTTGATGAGGAACTGGACTGGAGTCCCGAGTGGATTGCATTTGTGTGCTGCCACTTGAGCCACTGTTGCTGGCAGGCTCTGTTATATTGTTTTTCTCTGTTAGGATGGGAAGGCTTTCAGGTGGAAGAATCATCCCCCAGAGTAGGGGCCATACCTGAGAGGTTCCTGAATGCTTAGGTGGCAGAAGTAGGTGCTGGTGGCCCTAGCAGCTTCAGATGCTGCAGGCCACCCTGGGAGGTGCTCAGCAGAAAGATCAGCAGAGCTGTGTCTCCCTGGAGGAACTCACTCTGGTGGGGGCAGCGGTAGATAAACACATAGGCAACTGTGCACAAAGGTGTGTGCAGACCGTGGTGCCCCTGGATGTGAGCAGATGGAACATTGGGATATGTGTGGAGGGGTTGCAGAGTGTGTTCTGTGGCAGCTGTGAGTGGACCTCCCTTTGCAGAGATACTTGGGAAGTGGCCACTGTCAGGTTAGGCAGTGGGAGAGCCCTGAGAGAGGGCTCCTGGCATTGGAAGGGAACTGTACTTGGTGATGGTTGCAGCCTCCTTTCCCACTTCAGGGCTCTTTGGACTGCTCAGGGTTGATGACCACTGCCCTCCAGGCCCTTTACTGGAGTGACTTTGAGGTGGTGAAAGAAGACACAGCGAGTGAGATTAAACTTGAGGGATTGGATCCTGTGCTGTTGACAAGGATGAGGACAGGGAGGTGGTGTTTAGGATGAGGGTGGTGTTGTCAGCACGCTGGACTCTGAGTGGTGAGGTAAGTCTGGAAAGCATGGGTAGAGAGAGGCTGGTGGGCACCAGAGAATAGTGGGACCCCAGGCTTCTGTCTGGCATGCAGGTAGCCCCTTCCAAGCTCTTAGTGCTTTGACGTAAAATAATCTTGTGACCTGGTCTGCTTACTTAACGCTCACAGTGTTTGGGGTGACTGGGGGCTCCTTCTCAGTGGATTGAAACATAGTTCATAACCAGCATGGTGATGTGTGGTGGTTAATCATATGGTCTTTAGAGCCAGGTTCACCTGCCTCGGTCACTTACTGATTGGTGTGTGGCTGCAGACAAGTGACTTCACTCACCACTTTGCCTCTGGTACGATAAGAGTATCAGCCTCATCAAGGGGTCAGTGTTTGCCATAGATAGAGCACTCAGTTAAAGGTTGCTTTTGTTGTTCTTCTGAAAATCCCTGACAGCCAGCCAGGCTGTCCAAGGAAGCCCAGGGGCTTCTGATCTGGCCCCTTTTCCTTCTCCTGGGACTGATAGCATCTGCCATCACACCTTGCCCATGAAACATCACAGGTGGCATTTGCCCACCTTCTCAGGCCTCTCAGGCCTGCCTCTTGGGCCCTCCTTCCAGTCACAGCTCCTAGTGGGGTACCTGGGGTTTGCCTGCGTATTGCCTCCTTTTGCTGCACGGTGGAGATGGTTGGGCCTAGTTCCCGCTCTTCCCCACCTTGTTTTTGGACAGGATTGCCTTGGATGGTGGCCTGCATCTGACTGTCCCATCAGCTCTTCTCAGCTCTCCTGAGGCCACAGCTGTCAGCTCCTCTGACCCTCAGCACTTGCCTGGAACATCTGGGTTTGCCAGACACCTCTTCAGCCCATCTCTGTCCTGCTGAGTCTTGCCCACCCTCCCCACTGCACCATCTCTTCCTTTCTTCCCCCTTCCTCTTCTAGTTGGTGTGGCAGCTCCCCTCTGCTCCCAGCATGCCCTGTTGCTGGCGCCATCGGCACGGCCCTTGCAATCCCATCCCAGCAGCAGCCAGTTATGCCAACACACACCCTTGGCAGCAGATGGACCAGGTCTCTCTTGGGGTCACATATGCCCCCCTAGTGGATCCCTGGATTGAGCGGCCCTGCTGTGGGGACCCCGTATGCGTGCATACGACCATGGAGCAGAAGAGCACAGCCAGCAGTGCTCCTGGTGGTAAGCTCACAGAAAGGGGACCCCTGGCTCTGTGCATGCCCAGCCCATGGCCCCTCAGCGTGGACTTCTACTAGGTGCCAAGCTTGGACCCAGGCACCTTTGATGACTCCCCATGGCTTGTGGACCGATTTTGGGCTCAGTTGGGTGATTACATGTCGTTTTGCTTTGAGAACTGTCAGGACAACCTCAGTCACGTCTGTGAGATCCTTGGGCACCCGACCGGCCAAGCCCGGGCATGAGCACCCCCCCCTACCTCGTCGGGGACCTGCCCCTTCCTGACGATTATGAGCTCTTCTGCCAGGATCTCGAGGATGTCATTCAAGACCTGAACAGTTTTGCTGAGTACCATGCTGCAGCGCCTTGCCCCCTGGCCCCTGCCTTAAGCCAGTCACCAGTGGCCCCGCAGCTGCCTGTGGTGAGGCAGTACTTAGCTAGGTATTCGGAGGTCCTGGCATTCAACGTGGGTGCTGTCCCAGTTGCTGTGGCCACCTTTGCTGTTTATACTTCCAACTCTACATCCAGAAATGGTCTCCCTGAGTAGCAGCTGGCCAAGGAGAGCAGCCTTGGGTCTGTGGAGTCCCTCACCTTGTCTAGTTCCGCATGCAGGGCTGATGCTGGTCCTGTGAGGCCAGCCTCATCCCAGCCAGGGTAGGCGGTCCCCGCACCTGTCCCTGCACTTTCAGGATCTGTAACCCGCCTACCCAGAAACCAGATCCAGTTCCGCCAGGGTCCAGAAACCCAGAAGACAAAGGAGGAAGTTTCTAAGACAGAGGGAGACCAGAAGGCATCCTTAAGTACCCCTCAGCAGGTTGCAGACACCCCAGAGACCCCAAGAGAGCTAGCAGTTTCTCTTGCTCCCTACCCCACAGCCCTGGATTCTGAACACAGTCCAGGCAGATTCAGTAGTGCCCCTTGTGATGAAGTGGCCTGCATAGCTGAAAAGCCCCACAGTGCCCCAGCAGGACAGAATGGCATTGCCAGATGACTGTAGCCATAGTGTGCCAGGTATTGCCTTATCCACTTGCTTTATTGCTGGGCCACTTGTTTTATTGCTTTATTGGAGGTGCACCTGTTTGGGCTCTGCCCTGTCTGAACACAGACAGCCCCCTTGTCCTCACCATCCCACCTCCTCTTATAGCAGAATATTGGGCTCTACCATGTGCTCCTCATTCTCTGACTTCTCCAGTCACCCAGAGGCTGCCTCCCTGTGCATTGCCAGCTGCATTGCCATTAGTTGGACAGAGTTCCATACAGCAGTCCCCATTCAGATATCTGTATGTCTTCATAACACCCCCTCCCCAGATCCCTCATTCAGTGTTGGCTAGACTGGACTGGGTCTGCCATGCCAGCCCTGTTTAGATCTGTCCCCGGATGGTATCTGTACTTAGGCCCCCTTCCCCATCTTGGCTCTCTGTGACCTTTGTCCTCTGGGCTAGAATTTAAGGAAGGCTGCATGGAGGAAGTGGCCACTTTGATCATTTAGTACTAGTGGGATGGCAGAGAAAGATGCTTCCCTATGGGTATACCAGCAGCCTGGGACAGCTAGGGAGATGGGATACAAGCCTCCTTGCCAGTCTTAACTGAGTTCCAAGCATTTCCCCCTTCTGTATATTAACATTGTAGTTAACACCTGGTGTTTTCAGAAGTTGGCATGAATTTCTGTGTCTCAGTGCCTTTGCCCATTGTTGCCTTCCCACTTTCTGCTATTCAGCATTCCCTGCCTCCCTGCCCACTGTTGGGCATTGCTGACTCAACACTTAAACCATAACACTATAAATGACTTGTATCTTTGGGTAGATTGTGAGCCTCTAGGGCAGGAGCTCCATCCTAATCAGCTTTGTGTCCCTGGTACACAACTGGTGCTCATTAAACATGTTAAATCCATGGCTGATCCTGTGGTGTGGTGGTAGCTGATGAGCAGAGCCCTTATTTTGTTGGCAGAAGCACTGTTGTCTGTTCTGTTGAGAACAGGCTAGGCCCTAGCCATGAGCACTCTAGGTTCAGTGTTGCAGGTTTCTGGTGGGTGGGGCTTTGAAAATCGAAGGATCTGGTTGAAGGAAGGAGTTGGGCTGAATAGGTGGGAATGGGAGTCTTGGCAGGTGGAATGTGGCCTTGAAAACTGACTTCCTAGAGCTGGAGTGAAGGAGCAGGAAGCAGACCAGAGCTGTGAGGCCAAGGGGCCAGAGGATTGGAATGAAGAAAGATCCGTTCTGCACAGGATGGGTTTTCTAATAATGAGAACTGAGCTCAGAAGCTCCCTCAAGCCAAGTTTAACACAGGATGGGTACAGTGCACCTACTCTGATGAACAGTTAGGCAAGAGTGTCAAGCCCCTTTAGTTTTACAGCTGGAAACAACACTTTTCCAGGAAAGTAGGAAGAACAAATAAAGTGGAAGCATGAACTGCTACTAAAA